AGATGTGTATATATATATAGGCCTATATATATGTATATATATATTTACTGTATATATATAACAATATATTAGCAACAATGTTTAATAATAGGCATAATAATAGCAATATGGTAAATGATTAAAATGTGGCTCTCTCAAATAAAACACCAATGCCAAAACGGAAATAATGTTATATCAAATCGAATCTTATTGTTTATTTTATTTTATTCAAATGTATTTGGACGAGGTTTTTCATAAACATGCGTTCCGAAAAATGGTAACTGAACTGGTTTAAACATTTTGTTCATTTGCATCGATAATTTGATGTGGATCCACGTGTGTCTCATATTTACAAATGCAGACGCAAACACAACTAACTTTGAAAATTTTAACTAGAGATATGAACATGGATTATTTTGTAATTTTTATCTTAATTTTGGTAACTCATGTAAGCTTCGTCAACACAATTGAGCCCCAATTGTTTAACAATGAACATACTCGGCCACCTAGACGTGCATACACTGTTAGTATAATTTGTATAGATACTCTTAATTAATTATATAATTACTACTCGAAAGTGTTCTATTTTCATTTCAAGTTGAAGGAACCGTAAGTGCTATCACTGAGTGTGCCTTGGATGAAATTCTTAGCAGCGTCAACACCACGTGTATGGTAGGAAATAAACAGTTTTCATTAGATGCAGTTAATGATTTTATTTTAAAGTCAAACTAAATTAATGAAAACAACATTTAAAACATAAATAAAAGCTAGTATCAGGTGAATAAAACTTCTAATTAAAGAATTGTCAAACTAACTAATGTAGATCTTCACCAACCATTCTATACCTTGCATTTGCGCTAACATGTAGTACTCGAGGTATCTTTTCTCCCTACTACAAAACAATCGTAGTAGCCAATATGTAATACAACTTGCGACAAATATGCAATGATTTATGCAGAGGAGTTTTAATAGTTAAAATTAATAGTTATTTGTGGTTTTATTAAAATGTTGACTAAACTGTTTTTACTTTCTCTTGTATCATTGGTCGGCAATATATTCATATATTTTTTGGAAAACTACAGATTAATAATAAATATAGCTAATTTCAATGCGGTTCAATTGAGGTACTTTTATCAACACAAAGAATTGCATTCCGGCCAAATGTGAATAACATAATTGAAAAGAATATTTGTGTGAGCACTGACAATTACGATTATGCACTAGTATTTTTTCTTGATTGAATTAAGCTTTAATATGGAATTAGAAACTTAAACAACCTTTACTAAAATAGTTTCAAATATTAGAAAGACCTATTGATTTGGTTGTTTTTCTTTTTTTAGAATTCCGAAAATATACTTTTAAAAATTGACTATCTGGATCAACTACTACTTGGCAAATTTCACTCTTCTAATATGTCGACTTACGAAAATTCATCAGATCAACTCTGTAAGTTCATCTGGGATAGATAACCTTAATTACAGCTATCAAGTTTACTATACATTATCATAAGCTTCTGCTAAATTTCTTTCCTTTCTTTATTCGTATTTTTTTTTGTAGAATTCATTTAATTTATTCTGTGAAATGTATGCCTATACTTATTAATATATTATTAAACTAAATTTATAAATGATAAAGATAATATTATCATTTTTATATTTATTATGATATTATTATTATTATTATTATTATTATTATTATTATTATTATTATTATAAATGGTATTATTATATTATATAACAATTATCTGTTTCTGATTCACATATTTAGCTTTTATTGTTTTTCAACTGCATCCGAACACCAGCAGAAGAGAGTTAAAGATTACTTTGAATGACGAAATTATCGTCTTCTCTATAAAGTTACCTTTACATGCAGGTTAGATATGTTTTAAATTTACATATACAATACTAATTGATTATTGCGAATGCCCGTAATGTGGCATAATCAGATAATTTTTAGGGAAACGTTTAGCGCTGCAGTTGCTGGTCAGCTTCTCAACCTGGGGGTCGGGGGTCAATCCCCCACTAAATGTATTTCACTTTTTTCTTTAGGCAATATGCACTTCACCTACAGTTAGCCAGGTGTACAAGTGGTATTTGGTAGGTTCGAATTAATGAGCTGATTTTTAACTGCAACATTTTGGAATTCTTCCCAGGGAGCATGAAACCTGTTTTCGAGGCTCACTAGGAGAATTTATTCGCGCGAATCGAAGGCGTCGGTGCGGTTCCTGAGCTCTGATTGATTGCGCACTTTTTTCGCTTCGCAATAATGTAATCGCTTATAAAGAGACCCTGTTGATGATGAAGTGCTATGTAATACAGTATTAACATATTATTCTTTATCAGTATTTTTCTAAAGACTATTTATGCTTTCGAA